AGTTAGTTCAGATTCACCAAGAACAATCGATTTTGGTTGTGGATTTCGCCAAGGAATTGATCCTACAAGGCATGTGAGTCTTTCACAGCGTTGGGTTCGTTCACCTACGTGCCAAGCATGTTTAGTTCAGGGAAATTTGTCCTAAAAGAGTTTGAAAGTTGACGTTCTCAACACGTATTCTTGTATTTGAATGTTGTTCTTGTTGGGATGAATTAAGGAGTTTCTGAGATCTTTGAGTCAAATAATAGAGTTGTTCTGAGTTAGGTCCTTAGGTACATATGCTGAGTATCTGAATCTAAAGAGTTTTTGAGAAAAATATCCGAATTTAGGCGAATTGGGGTAGTAAAATGGAGAAGGAAAATGTCGAGCGTGATCTGGCACGCAAGTCCGCGCCGAGGACTTGCTCCCCCAGTGACCAAAAAGTTGCTCTGCATCCCGGTTAGGACACGGACTGCTCTGTCTCAAAATTTAATTTTGCGAGCATTTATTTAGAAACATCTCCGTGTTGCGGACTTGTTCCAAGACAGTGATTTCGTAACTTTTCTCATGTTTAGCTATCTAGAATCATTCCTAAACATCATGAGATCTTTCCAATCACAAATCTTAATCCTTAAATCCATAATTCAATTCAAGGATCAGTTAAGAGTCAATTCAAGTAAAGTCAAGAGAAGTTCACCAAAGTTTTCAAAAGTGTTTTACAAACATTTTAACTTTGTTTTAAGACTTAAAGTCCGAGTTGAGTAAAGAGTAAAGAGTAAAGTTTTGAAGTTCATTTCTTCAAAGAAGTATATGGGAACTAAGTATTCCTAAAAACTTTATAAATGTTTTCACATTTGAGAAAGAAAGGGAACATCGATTCCAAGAAGAGCTTTTAAGCTAAGTTTTGAGTAATTACCTCAAACTAGAGAAGAAGTTGTTTTAAAAACATATGAGCTAAGTATATTTTTGGGAGTAGTATTGAGCACCGATATGGGGACGCGAATTCATATTAACTCAAGCCCCCGTAAACCATGTAGCCATCATGGGTAGTAAAGGATCATACTTTTTAGATGATTCCTTAAGTGTTTTTTAGCATATACTAGTGGATCCACTTAGTAGTTCAGGTTCTATACTGATGGCAAGGTATAGAGCGGTCCTTGGCAGCATGAGGTAAAACGTTGTACCATCACTTAGACTCATAGTGATGGTTGTCGGTTAGAGAAACTCCCACATAAGTTATATTACTTTTAAATGAGTAAAGTTGAGTTTGTTATTGCTTTATCTTTAACGAGCCTATGTTTGTTAGCATTCCAACTCGTATACTCATACATTCAATGTACTGATGCCAGTTGGCCTACATCGTATTATGATGCAGACGCAAGTAACCAGGATCAGCATCCAGCGCCTCGTTGATCCAGCTTGAGCATTCAGAGTTTGTTGGTGAGCCTCCTTGCATTCCGTAGGACCTTTTATTGCTTTCTAGTTTAGTTCATTAGGATGTTGTGAATTTGTCCCAACATCTATCTCAGTTGTTTTAGAGGCTTCATAAACAATTAGTAGTTCAGTAGTCTTTGCATTATCATTTTTATGTTAAAGACTTGGGTTGCCACTTTTGGCCAAGTTGAATGTTTAATCTTTGAAACATTCTCAGTTATTCTATTATTCAGTTCAGTTAAATTCATTGATCACTATAGATATGAATATTGTCTTCCGCTGAGTTAAGTAAGCTAGGCCAAGGGTTCGCTCGAGGCCATCAATGGTCTTCGAGGGCCAGCCACGTCCGGGGTGTAGGATCGGGGCGTGACATGAATAATCCCTTGAACTCAAAAATTTGTCAAACATGATATTTAAGCACCTTGGAGAAGTTAAACTAGGAAACTTTATTGGAAAAACACATGAGATGCAGCTTATCAACCTTATTTAGCCAACTTCCTGGTGTTGGAGAGAATGTTAATCGATGGACAGTTTCTAGATTAAAAACCTCTTGATACAAGATTCGAATTCTTCACTGAGATCTCAAAGCTTTCGTGTGCATCACCTAAAACAGAAATTGTCTACATAGATTTAAGTTGATCTCAATCTTTTGCTTAGAAGTTTAAGTTGAAAAACGAAAAGAAACGTTGATGTAGTATTATAACTCTTTGTTGTGCCTTGTTGTAACGGCTATTTCAGAACATGAGCATTTCTTGAATGGATGTTTTGATTAGTTTGTTGTCATTACATGTTTAAGGATTTCTACGTTTATTGTCGGCTCATAAATGAGTTATTGAAGAGTTTTTGGGAGGTTTTAGAAGATATTAAAGGCAAGACGTTGAAGTTTATCAGTGAAATTGTGGAGAAACATGATACGTTGCGCATATATATATATATATACCCTCGTCATATCTAATAAATGATGCATATATACCTTCGTTGTCTAACAAAAGTTGCATATTACCCTTTTCATTAACAAGTTTATATTTATTGAATTAAAAGAAAATCTTAAACTGTTTTTATTAAATTTCAAAAAATGCCACACGACTTTAAAACAATCTTCTCACCCGTTTTTTTAAAACCCTTTTTGACCCCACTCAACTAAAAGAAATAAATCCCTCTTTTGATTTGGGTTGGGTTTGGACCAGAACATCCCTCTTTTGATTTGGGGCGGTTTGGGGCCAATTCGAGTGATGATTCAGGTAGGAACAAGAAACAACTGATAATTCAAAAGTGTTTTGATAATTAGCGGGTGACAGTTCAAGTAGAAAAAGTAAATACATAATAGTGCTGATAGAAAACTTTCAAAAACATGACATCCCATATATGTTTTTGACTATTTTTAATTTAAATAAATAAGAATGCTCCAATGTACAAATCATTTCTTAATGCCAATAAATGAAAAGAACAATGACAATAAAGTCTTAACTATTATAATATGTAAAATGGATCAAAAAGATGGCAACTACCGAATTTGCCATAATGAATGCTTTTGAGGCAATTCAATTTTACATCAATGGTCTGCTGAAATTTAAATGAAAACATTAAAAAAAAAAATCTTTTTGAGAGATTAAAATAATTTTTTTCTCCATAATAACATAGTATAATCATCATATTAGAAGCTTGAAAATGACAGAACTTGAATTTAACTTAAATTACTCATAGAATGGTCTCTAGATAAAGGATATATTCTTTATTTAGTTGAACTCTTTACTTGAACTCAAAATCCATAAAGTCCCAAAAAGGGCATCATAACAGAACCAAACCACAACTTGCCATATTTCTCCTGAACTTCACTAATAGACCTCAACGTCTTGCCTTCAATATCTTCTAGAACCTCCAAAACTCGCCCGTCCTCGCTTAGCTTGATTGCTGTAGCGTGCAGCAGCCCTCCGTTTAACAAATCGTCCAATTGTTGTGCGATGAACGGGAGCTTCAACAATGCATTTCCCATTTCCGAATTTGAAAAACTCAATTGTGATCTTATTGCTTGTAGAGCTACCCAAAATTCCCCTTTCGAATTTATTCTAATGTTGTCCGGAAACCCCGGCAACTCAGCAAATGTATCATGTGTTCCCTCAAGGGGGCCTTTAAGTCAGTACCTTAAAATTCTAAAATTAGAAGTTTCAGCCACTAGCACGAATGACCGATCTTTACTCAAAGCTACACCATTTGCAAAAGCAAGGCCTCTTATTAAAATTTGGTTTTTTTTGGTTGATTTAGTATATTTCATTAGCCTGCCAGTCGCATCTCTGCTTAAAAGAGAGTCGACAAATTGTCTGCGTTGGTACCTTGTGCTTGTATCCGTGAAGTAAATCACATCGTTGTGATCATCAATGTCAACGTCATTTGTGAAGACGAGAGGCTTACCGTCTAATTTTTGGACTAATGGTGTAGCTAATCCTCCTTTTGGTCCAACAACTTGGATCCCGAAATAGGCATCAGCAATGTAGAGTTCCCCTGTTTTGGTATCGAATCGTAAGCCTAATGGCCTCCCACATATATGCTCCATTTCTGGAGCAAAAGGCAATGTACAATTCTCTCTTTGAGAAGAGGTGACTGCAAAATCAGCCCAAGATGATCCTTGAAACTTGAGAATTCGTCCATCGGCTATTCCTATGTATGGGCCTTCGCCATTTGGATCGAAAGCAACACTCTCTGGTCCAATTGCTCCATTAAGTTGGATGATTTCGGATTTTGAGAGGACATTTTGGGATTTCAATGCGTTTTCCGAATCATCAAAGGCTAGATTAACTGAGGCAAATAATGCTACAGTAGCAATGAGCAACAATAATATATTTGAAGCATTCATTGATCGGAAAATGTTTTTTTGGTGATGAGATTATGTCCAAGTTTTCTTCTTTTATACATACAAATTTAGTTGACAAGTTAGTTATTGTTGTAGAAGCAATGGCATTTAATAGTTGTCACTACTACAAAAAGTTCCTTTAGCCCGCAATTATTTAGTGAGAGTAAAGTATTAATTGCCACTACATTAATAACTAAATAGACATATAATGCTGGCCACTGAATGTAGAGATAACTGCCTGAAGAAATAGTGGTAAAGTCTGCATACTCTCTATCCTTTTTAGACAATACTTGTGCGCGATTTCACTGAGTATGTTGTTGTTGTTGTTACCAGAAACTACACGTCCACGCCCAATAACCTTAACATAATTTGGCCAAGTTTTTTATTGTTTACCTGAATTGGCCTCAGCCTTCTTATGTTCGAGTTCTTTTATGCTTTTGCCGATTGATTCTTGAATAGAACACAAATGCTTATTCGAGTTCAGTGAAGCAACACATTACATATCGAGATTGTATCAGAGCTGTATCTAATAGTTCGGAAATGAAATTAATAATTTACGCTAAGTTTAGGAGTGTTTTTGATACTTCTCCCTTGAATAAATAGTCTCACGCTTGCAATTTAAAGATTGGCTGGCGGATAAAAGAATAAATTTAATTTTTAACCAGTATTAATTAAGTAAATAAAATAAATGTGTGTAGGTATGTGATTAGGCTTTTATTAATTAACTACAAAGAGACGTTCTACTAATCTTCAATGTAGCCGGCGGAATTCCTGGTCGCCGGCGGGACGTCATTGCCATGCTTCAGGCTCTCTCACTTCTTCTTCATCAGGTTTCACGGAAAATCCCCAACAGTGCGCAATTCGCCCTTCCGGACTCCACTCCGATTTTAGGTAAGTCTTTAACTAATCTATTGAGGCATAAAATATTTTGATTTCAACCTTCTATTTTAATTTTGATGAATTTGTCTGCATTTTGAATTTTCCTGATTCCCAGACTCCATGTTTGCTTGTATATATATATATGTAGCTTTTGCTAAATTTCATCAGAAATTTTGCTCCTTTTGTTCCTCTCATAATCTGATTTGCATGCTATTGCTTTTCTCTAATATGTTACTGTTTTTGTTGGGTAAGTTATTGAATTCGCATTGTTGTTCAGATTTTGTGGTTTTGAGTTTGTACTCAGAAACACAAAGGAAGAGGATAGTTTTACTAAGCACATAGTTGTTGAAAAACGGCTTGAATCTTCTGAAACCTAAGTATATTTGTGAAATTTGAGTTTTTGTACTCATCTCGGACTAAGGTAAAGCAATAACTTTTCCAGACAAAATACAAGTATTGACAGCTTTTACAGCATTAAATATAAATAAAACCGAATATACTGAAGTCATTTGGTTAATGTTTAACTTATCATAAGTTTATCAAAGATAAATGAATTAAATAGTTGGTTTTAGGAGAGTTGGTAGCTGTTTGTAATTTCTGAAAACTTTCGTAGACTTTAAGATGATAATTTGTAAAGGCTAAAATTTTATTCATAACAAAGTAGAGAGATTTAAAGAAACAATGTAATATCTCTAAGGCACCACGCATCATAATTCAAGTAGAACGTGCTAATCATCCTCTTCGCTATCATGCACTACTTCGGTGCAGTCATTTTCTTCCTCCTCTTCCTCTTCTTTTGGATTTTGGTCCCAACCATAATCATCATAATTAAGTCCAGGGTTCTCTGCAGTCTCCCTAATCTCTTTGAGAAAACTGCTCGCTTTATTTGACAACAATATGGCCTCCCCATAGTTGGATAATAATCTAGTGTTTCCGTCAATGCTTTGGAAGTTCTTGTCACTCTTGAATTGTTGAATATAATGGACAAGAAGGTAGTTTGGGACCCCATGGGCAATACCAAATACTGTGAAAGAGTTGATGTTCAGTTGGAAGAGCGAGAGGAGAAGAAAATGAAGGGATTGGCATATGGTTATGCTTTCTTTAGTGCGGGTTGTTTGGAGATTGAGAGAAATAGGAGAGATTTTGAAGGAGTAGAGTCGAGTTTCTCTCAGTTGAGGAGTAGTCTCCGATCCCTCATTTTCTTTTGGTGTAAACAATAAGGTCTTAGTTGTATAGTTGTATAGATGAGGGGGTGGAGTTCGTAGAGAATTATGTTTCGTAGATTCTTTACTTTGTGGTATAACCCTTGTATATGGCCAGTTTGACCATATTCATGAATGGATATACTAATACTTCGACTTGAAAAAAAATACAAACAATCCAGTGTAACATAAAAGAGTCATCAGATGGTAAAAAAATTACCTGATCATAACAGGTTTAAACTAAACACTGATGGCTGTTGGAAAGGAAATCCAGGGAAGCTAGTTGCGAGAGGTCATTGTTTAAGGGACCATGAAGGAATTATGATTCCACACTTATTTTGGTATCTGTACCAACAACAACAGGGCTGAATGTTCAGCACCATGGAAAGGAATTCAATGACGTGTTCAAAATTATATGTTGGATGTGATCATTGAAACTGAATCTTTGTTTTTGTTATTATTGCGTTCATTAGTTGTTGTCCCATAATAGATTCCAGAGTAGAAACTGCTAATTGTATATATAGCAGGCTCTTTAGCTAACATTGGAGAAACTGGAAATCCTCTTTACTTTGTTCACTGTGGTCGTCTCTTTGCCATGACAAGTTAGAGCTACACTAGAAGGAATTGCATATCATTATTTGTACTCTCTTTTTCCCTTGTGCTCTCTCATTCACATAAAGACTTTGGGGTCGAAAAAAAGTCTATGGAGTTTAAATGCCTTGTGTTTTTAAGGGACTTCACCACCCCTATGTAAGGGGTCAAAAAACTATACTTCACTTCTTCAGTATCTGTAATGACTTCACCCACTCCAATGTAAACTGACTTGAATCCTATCTTGAAATGTTGACATGTCCGGTGAACATTTAACATGTAAATACGCACACAATTTTTATTTTTATAAAATGATGGTACATACCTTGACAATCTTTTTAACCTTCAACGATTCGTTAAGTATAAATTTTTAATCAGATGGTAATTGTGTATAAAGTGCATAAAATTGCATCCACGCTTAAATAGTTGAAAGAAATCGTATTCATCAAATGCGACTTGAGTTACAATGTACACAGGTCAATCAACAGGCACGGGTGTTTACTACAAACACAGATAACACATTTAAGAAATGTTATTTACAAGTTAGCTCAAAGGTGACTTATGACTTAAGTACAACTGATTGCAGAAATTCTGAGAACTGTACAATTTGATTCGCTTAATTGACAAGTAATATCACATAGTTGCAACTGGTGAATATGCTTTAGTACAAATCTTCTCTGCATGTCAGGAATCTAAAAAGATAAGTTGCAGACTATGAATGTGTCCATTATTGCAATTTTCAACTACGAATATTAGTTCTCAAAATCAGAAATAAAAATTCAACTACGAATACTCTCTGCAACATGATCAGAATCTTGGAAATAGTAAAACATAATTATCCATTGAGACTTACAAGTCACAGCTGGCAATTGAGATTCATAAATTGCATTCCAGCACTGAGTTCTATAAAACATTTGAATGTGATTTGAGCTATTACTACTACCAGACTGATCATTAACTCAGTTAACTTAGGACGTATGCAATCACATTCATGGAATTTGCATATTATCAAAATTCTCACAAAAATTCTACATTCCTGGAATTTGGCAGCCAAAATTCCACATTTTGGGGGAAATTCTTAACTTTCTCTATGCGGTTTTTCCTAATATCTCTCTTAAGCCGTAGATTGAGATTGAAGACTTGAAGAGTCCAAGCAAATATTTCCCACCACCAACCTCGATCTCTTACCTTCCCCCTTCTCTTCCTGCCATCACCACCCTCCATTGACTGTGGCCGAAGTGTCTTTCTGGGTCTTCCAGCTTATTTGGGCAAAACAAATCTGCAATGACTGATTTTTTACATATTCCGGCTATTATTTTTCAACAAATTGATCTGCCCAACTTTCATAACAGATTTCCGCCACCATTTTTCTGCAAATTCGGTCAAATAGCACATCAAGAAAAATGAAATTTGAGCCTTTACAGAAAAAAGATATGTTGGTAATCAGAAGCTCCAAATCACTTCTTACAACCGAAAAGGTAATAATTAGTGTTTGGACTAGCAAAAAAGAAGTTGGAAGAGAGCTCCCGAAAACACAACTACTGTGTTCCACTCAATAAATTAATGGCTCCTGTTGAATTTAAATTGGGTGACTGAAATTCATGCTGATCAGGCATACCGTAGTTATACCCTTTTCCAGCAGCACCATTCTCGCGAACAATTTCATAACTTCGCTCGGAAATTATGCTGTTACCACTTTAACATCGAACCTGTTTCTTATTCCTTAACAGAATCATCACTCAAATTGCTTTAGTAAACAGCAGAACTGTAATCTCAAGAAAATTAGTAGCAGCCTCTGTTGCTTGAAGTGGCAAAGTAACAAATGGTGAAGAAGAAGATGGTGGTGGGCTGTAAACAACATTGTACCTTCTTTCTTTCTTGCTGTAATTTCTAACACTGTTATAGAAATAAATATTGATGTGGTAGGTTAACACTGTTTTGCCTTGATGTAATGTCTGTTCAGAACTGGAGCAGTTTTGGATGGATGTCTTGATGAGTTTGTTTGTAATAACATTATCATTACATGTTAAGGGCTTTTACATTTATGCTTGTTCGTGAATGATTTATGGAATGATAAATGGTTTGTTTCAATATTTTGTTGTGGGTTGCAGTGTGTTGATTCTCTATCTGGTCAATTCCTTATATATGGCCCAACTTGAAGCTATGCCTGTAAGGGAGATCCGTGGAGGTTTGAGATTTGTTGCTGGTATGAATATAGTCTGTCTACTAGCAAGCACATATGCAACTTATATTTTGTATGATATAATATTATTCATGTAATCTCCTATTTTATGGACCTTTTTGTTTCCAACTGAAGTTACATTGTTCTTATTCACTATTTTTATAATATTTGCATGGGTGTAAACTTCTTTTTGTATAGTTCCCATGGCTTTTGGTCTAGTGTGATGTGTGTGATAGATGTACGACAAATGGGCAGATCAAATATAGATGGGTTGGAAACGGCTTTGCATTATTGCACGGAAGTCATAAAACTAATTGTTTTAATTGAAGATTGTTAGAGCTTTTTATGGAATTGCACATATATTGTATTAAGAATAATTGTATGCTGGTTGCTCTCTTTAAAAAGGTTGACCCAAATTAATAGTGATCTAGTAAGGTTAGAAGTTAAATGGGTCTAAAGACTCTTCATAAAGTATGAGGTCTATAAAGTATGAGGCCTTATGTGTATATACTTGGATGTTATTGACTTATTTCTAGTTTAATGATGGGCTAAACTAGAATTACATTAACTTGAGCATTTATAAATAGGGTTACGATCCCCAAAAAGGGTTTACTTTTCTCATATGAGGATATCCCATCATTGGAAACTTTTAGAGCCCAGCCGAAAAAGTATTGGAGAGAGCTCATAAGACGTGACATGATGCAACTTTAGGTTACCAAGGACATGAACTTAGATAAGAGGGCATGAAGGACACATATTAAGTTAGAAGGTTAGTAGGTAGAGTAGTGTAGTGTTGTCCTGCTTAGGGTGGTTGGTGTTTGCCATCGTACTAGTTATATTATTGTAGTTCTTGTTTTTGATATTTATCATTGTTTACTATTGTTTTCAATAACCTATCCTAGTATGTTGTTTATTATGTATTGATTATCGCACTATTTTGTTATCTTTGCTCCGTTCTGGTAGAATTTTACTGATTTCTTGCTACGTGCTATATTTTCTTCATTGTCTCCTTCTTTGTACCTGGATTTGCTAGACTTGAGCCGAAGGTCTTTGAAAAACAGCCTCTCTACCTCCACGAGGTAGAGGTAAGGTTTGCGTATATTCTACCTTTCCCAAACACCAATTGTGGAATTTCATTGGGTATGTTGTTGTATAACCCAAATAATTAATCCTAATTACATATTTAAAAGTAACATTTTTCAAAAAATAAACATAATCCTAATCACATATTTATAGAGAACATAAAAGGATAAAACTTACACAATAAACTATAAACTAGGAATAATAACTGCTAGACCAACTGCTGCAAATCAAGGGAACAATGTTGTAGCAGTTGTGTTTGTCCAGAACTCTTCAAACCTTCAACCTTTTGTGGATAGTTTCTTCTGAAGTACGTCTGGAAAGGTGGATTGGTATCCCTCCGAAGAGATGCCTTGTCCTTGAGGCAAAAAATGGATATTGAACAGCAAGCAAGCCATAGTCTTCCCAACTAGCCTCTTCAACAGGTCTACGACGCCATTGAATAAGTGATTTCAGAGTTGGCACTCCCAATTCTTTCACCCATGGATGTGATAAACCTTTTTCAGGTTCCATTATGAATTCCAATTCACCCAATAGTGGTAAAGGTAGAGGGGAAGCAATATCACAACAATCACAAGCAGGACGAAACAACGAGACTTGAAAAATCAGATGTACCTTGGATCTTTGAGGTAGCAGCAATTTATAAGCAACAAGACCAACTTCGCGAACAACTTTGTATGGTCATATCTAGGTGAACATTTCTCATTTGGATGTTTGGCTATACTCATCTGCCGATAAGGTCGCAAATGAAGGAATATGGCATCAACCACATGAAAAAATAGGTCACGCCGCTTGTAATCAGCTTGAGATTTCATTCATGATTGAGCCTTCATTAGACTGGAGCTTAGTACTGTTAACATTTGATCTTGCTCCACAAGTGTTGTTCAAGTTCAACAATTTTAGTTTCTCCATCACTTCATGAACTAAGAGATGCAAGAGTGGTGGTTCCCTCTCTAACACAATCTGGAACTGAGTCATATTGGCGGAAAAATGGTAGCCACTGTTGAAAGAGTATTTAGCCCAAGGTAGATACTGAAGCCATGATTTTGGTTTGTCGTGAGCAAAATAGTGAAGTAAGTTTCAAGGTATCGATTGACCACACCTTCATTTGAACGTCAGATTGGGATGATATGACGTACCCATACTGAGACAAGTGCGACTAAGGCAAAAAAATTCCTGCCAAAATGCACTTGTAAAACAACATCACGATCCGAAAGAACGGAGCCTGACATTTCATTACAGAAAACATCAACCACTGTTCTAGTAGTAAAGGGATGAGATAAAGCAAGAAATGGCTGTGTTTGCTAAACCTGTCCACCACCACAAGAATAGTATCAAAGACATTAGGAGGAAGTCCAACTATGAAGTCTTGGGAGCTATCCTCCCAAACTCTGTTAGGAACAGGTATAGGCTGTAAGAAACCAACTAGAGCTAACATTTCATATTTATGTTGTTGGCATATCAAAACATTCTGGACAAACAACTTAACATCATTCTTCAAACAAGGCCAGAAAAAATTTGCAGATACCTTTTTGAGAATTTTCAAGTAACTTCTGTGCCCTCCTGTTGGAGAATCATGTGACTCTGCTAGAATCTTGGCTTTGAGCTCAGGATAATCAGGAATAACCAGCCAAGATTTGTAGCAAAGATGGTTAGCAGACAAGATTGTAATAAAGCAGCAACTTGGTTCTCAGTTTCATTCTATTGAGGGTAATGATAAGCTCTGATGTTTGGAGGTTTAGAATTTGGTAACAGAGGAATAACATGAGAATGTACTCTAAATGGTGGAAGAGATGTTGGTTCAGAAAATACAAACTGAAATTCATTTAAAAGTGTTTGGATTGGATTACCCGGAGTCTCTGATAACATGTTAAAAGATTGGAGGGAAGCCGTGGCAGAATTTGTTGAGCTCATCCTTGCGATTTGTAATGTTTCCTTTTCCAATTGAAAATTACTGCCTGCTCATGAATGAGTTATTGAAGAGTTTTTGGTTTCTTCAGTTTTTCTTTTCTTTCTTTAGTTTTGGAGGGTTTGGGTTAGAGCCTGTTTGGATTGGCTTAAAAGAAATAGCTTGTAAGTCAAAAATAAAAAGTCAAACTTAAATGATTTTTAAGTAAAAAAAAAAGAGAGTAGGGGAGGCCTATTTTTGGTTTTTAACTTATTTTAAGTCATTTTTAACCTATTTGAAGTTATTTTTAATCTTGCCAAACACTTTCTAACTTATTTTAAGTCATTTTTTACTTGTTTGAATTAATTTTATATTTGCCAAACACTTCTGGAAGTCAAAAACTAACTTTGAAGTAGGTTTGATCAACTTTTAAGTCAATCCAAACACCTTCTAAGAAACTGACTCAGTTTCCAAATTTACTTAAACCAAGCAAAAGACGATACACCCTTTTGTAGGAAAAAAACTTAACTGGACTGCGTGTTTTACATCAAATCAATAGATGCATTAGAATGAGGGTAAGTTTTATACACAAGATTTAGTTCATGAGAAAGTCCAATTTGTCAGGTATTTGGTTAAATTGCTTGTAACTGGACTTGTCAGTTTGAATGAGTGGCATTGGCATACCAAACCTTAGATTGTTGAGTAATTGATCAGGGAAGAAATCTCCATACAGTAAAAGGAATTCATACTCTATACTAAAAGAAACTTTGCATCAAACAACATTAAACCCTAACACCTGCCATTGATATCAACATCTGATTTAATTCATTTTCAATAGCCACGAGATGATTGATATCAACGTCTGATTTAATTCGTTTTCAACTGCCACGAGATGATCCTTTTAGGGTGATCCTTCTGTCGATGAATGCTCTTATTACACTCAATCTTTGAAGAATGAGAACTAACTATGCACCATCTACATCGAAAATTCAATCATGGTATATGTCATTTCCTTCATAGGAACTACTCCTAAATCCTAACAACGAACTTGCAAAAATGTGACTTTATTCACATGTTTCCAACTCAATTAATTCAACTAATGAACTCAGAATGATTGTTACAACACAGTCTAATTTGAATAGCTAAAGAATTTCTAACTATTTTCAGTTTATTCACACCCAATTATTTTTTTAAATGAAGGGAGTGAAAAAACGACTGAAATAATTTTTTGAAGACTTGACCTTTTTTTAAATTAAAAAAATTAATTTTTTATTTTTTAGTTCAGTAAATATTAGGTCAATTCACAAAAAGGTAAAAATGTTTCATATTTCTCCCTTTTCACATGAATTTTTTTTCCTCTTGCCCCTTTCTCTTTTGGGGGCACATTAGGTGCGGCTAACTTGCCCATTTCTCCGACGAGCGACATAGGATGACGACGGAGGAAGCTTACGATGATACCGATCTGAAATGGCCTAACTATTTCCAGGTACTATTGAGCTTTCTTCACATCTTTTTGCTACATAAGCCTAGAATTGCTACATAAACTTGTGATTTGTTTGTATCTGTTTGTTCAATAAACTTCTGGATTCTATTTGATTTGAAAAGTGCAAACACTTTGGAGTTCTAACCGGATGTCTCCAAACAGACTAAAAAGTGTTTGTGATTATATAGTCTGTAGTTGAAGTAACAGAGATAGAGAAAAATTAGAAAAAGAAAAAATTAAAGTTATCCTTGTATTAATTTGATTCTCACATGTCATTTTAGAGTTACATGATTATTCTGATTTATTTTCGTTCACTTTACGTTGTTATAGATAAGAAACTGTAGAGAAGAGCAATTCAACCATCTATGGGAAACCTCTGGTGTAAAGCCTATGGACGGTATGATACTTCACGTTTGATTGGTTTAAGTATTTTTTGTTCAACTTTTTTGCCCTCTTTGATTTTTTATTGTTTTGGTAACTGAACTTTGTATTAGTTACCAAATGTGAAGCATTTACAAAATCATAGCGGAAGGGATACACTCTGCTATCCTAAGCTTTAAACTCAGCAAAAATGTGTTCTACAGAGCTAAAATAACTAGAATTTAAGCTCTGAACAGTAGCAATTTTTCTGGCTAGACCTTCCCATTCGCTGCTTTTCTGCTCAAAGATTTGGGAAAAGGTACAAGTACCCCCTAGACTATTACCGAAATCCCAGAGATACACCTTAACTAAACTACTACTGTTTGTTGTTTTAGAGCTTAAATTCTAGTTATTTTAGGCGCGTGAGAGATATTTAGATGTCACGTAATAGGACTTTGACTTTAGTTTAGTTAAGGTGCGTCTCTGAAATTTCGGTCATAGTCTAGGGGGTTACTTGTGCCTTATCCCCAAAGATTTTGATATTTCTCTCTATCTAAGGACCATGAATATACTCAGCGTACAACATCCTACATATCTGAGCCTTTTGTGTCCTCCCCTTAGCTCTCCTGAGGATCTCCTGAGTGTATTGGTTCTCTGTTGAGATAGAAAAATACAATTGTCATATATGTTGATTTGAGAGGTATCAATATCACCTTGTCTATGCGTGATTTTAATATAGAGAGATTTAATTTAAGACAATTTCTTTCATTTGTATAGATTGTCTTTAATAACTTCTTCAGGAAATTGGACTGTAGGGCGCCTTTTTAACACCAAACAAAAGAAAAATCCAACGATGTTGTGTATATCGATTTGTGAAGGTGAATTCTGTCAAATTTCTACATTAGGTTTATGTTTTATATTTGAACGTGCTAATAATATAGAGAGAGGTCTATTTCAAAATAATATAGAGAGAGGTCATTAAAGACAAGGTGACTTGACACCTCTCTTTGGCCAATAAAACTATTTTTTATCTCTCTTTCATTCTTTCATTCCTTCGCTATGTTAAAAGCTCACCAAGTTTCTGTATTAACAAACTGTTAAAGCTGCCCGTTTGCTTTCTCCAAGCAAGCGCAAATAGCAGCAGTTTCACCAAATGTATTGTAACTTGTTTAACTGCATTCAAGTCTTTAATTTGTTGGATATTGAATGAATATAGAATTGTAAAAGACAATGTTTTTTGGGTTTTTTTGGACTGTATTAAAATAAAAGGTTTGACACTTTACTTTCTTTGTCTTTTCTCACAAACCTGTGTGTATAAGTACTTCTAATTTTGTTGCCAAATACATTTCGAGCAAGTCACCATTGCCTCTTTTTAGGAAAGAAGGAAAAAAGTAAAGGAAAGAGGAAAACGTTTTTTATTATATGCCTGATGACACTGAACAAGAACAAATTTACTACCTAAGGTTGATACTGGTGATCTTTCAAGCTTGCTCTGGGTTGAAGGTTAACCAGGGGAAAAGCGATATTTTTCCAGTGAAAGAGGAGCAGCAAATTCAGTCTCTGGCAGATATTTTGAAGTGCAGGATAGAGGAGTTGCCCACAATTTATTTGGGAATGCTATTGGGTGCTAATCACAAAGCTGTGAATATATGGGACGGAATAATAGAGAAAACAGAAAAAAAAACTAGCTCTTTGGAAATCACAATACCTTTCCTTGGGAGGTACAGTTGTTTTGATCAATGCAGTCCAAGATTCTTTGCCAACATATGTAATGTCTTTATTTCCCATCCCCGGTGAGGTGTTGAAAATCTTAGACAAGTTGAGGATGGATTTCTTGTGGCAAGGAAGCAAGATTGAGAAAAGTTTCAACCTGGTAAATGGAGCACAGTTCAGCAAAGCAAGAGTTTTGGAGGTCGAATGAGGAACCTAAAGCTTCATAATAAGATTTTACTTATCAAATGGCTATGGAAATTTACTCAAGAAAATCAGTCCTTGTGGAAGGAGATTATCCTTCATAAGTATGGTCCGGAGGGGGAATGGTGCACTAATAAAGTGACTAATACCTATGGGGTTGATGTTTGGAAATCTATCAGGCATGACTCTCAAGCTTAACACTAAAGTTAGATTTGGTAGGGGAGGCAAGGTACTTTTTTGGGAAGAGGACTGGAGTGGTCATGGCACTCTTCAATCCCTTTTCCCTAAACTATTTTCAATAAGCTTGAATACTGGATGCCGTATACAAGAAATGTGGTTCCCTCAAGGGTGGAACCTGACGTTCAGAAGACTCCTAAATGATTGGGAAATACATGGGTAGCAGATTTTCTAAACCTAATAGAAAACTTCCCAGGCACTAATGCAAACTCAGACAAACTCATTTGGGGGCACCACAATGATGGAATTTTCACTGTTAACAAGGTATACAAAAGGGGACTGAGTGTAGTTGTAGGCAGGTCAACTGGACCTTGGAATACTATATGGAAGAGTGTGGCTCCTAATAAAGTGAAATGCTTCACTTGGCTAGTAGCTAGGAAAGCATGCTTGACACGTGAGGCATTGCAAAAAAGGGGGGATCCATCATAGCATCTAGATGCCTCTTCTGCAATGAGGCACTAGAAATCAACAAACACCTTTTCATGCATTGCAATGTAACAACACAAGTTTGGGCTATCTTCACTTCCATTGCTGGAATCAACTGGATCATGCCTGAACATACTGCAGACTTACTTTGCTGTTGGATCAGAAGAGGAGGAAGCAAAAGCCAGAAAAGATGGTGGACGACAGTCCCAACCTGCATCTGGTGGACCATTTGGAAGGAGAGGAACCAGAGGATCTTTGAAGGAAAAGAATCCTCTATTTTGAAGATTAAGTGGAAATTTAATACTTCACTAGGTTTTTGGTGTAAAGAACAAAGTATAGAAGAGGAAATCCAATTAGTGGATTTTATAGGCTCCTTGTAAGTATCTCTCTTTTCCTTTTCCGTAAACTTTTTGGAGGTGGCCAGCATAGCCTTAATGCTGAAGAATACAATTTACCAATTTCAAAAAAAAAAAAAAGGTAAAGGAAAGAGGAAAATGGAAGTAAAAGGGATAGGGAAGTAAGGTATAATAAATTTCCTAATTTGATTCCTCCTTCACTGCCAAAACAATCCAATGATGATTCAAGTTAATTTTTCTCTATATGACTTCATTATTGTAGGAGGAATCCCATTGTTGTTGTTGATTTTTTTCCCTTTATATGCCCCCTTTTTCAAGCTATCTTTTTATCTCCTTTCCTTGAAACCATATTTTGTTGTCAAATACATTTCAATGCATTTACTTGGGGGATTGAAAATTCATCTCCTTATTTAGTTCCTCCTTCAATGTCAAAACAATCTGGTGATGATTTGGATTAACTTTTCTCTTTATGACTTTATTATTGTAGGAGGAATCCCATTTCCATTGTTTTTTTAATAGTGGACAAAATTTCTATTCACTTTGTCAAATCAACACAAGAACAAAAGAAGCACTTATAACAATAATCACCAAGAACCTGCAGAAAATTAATAATAATATGTAGCATGGAATCCCCAAACTATAGATAAGAAATAACGGTGCATTTTAATTTAAATCATCAACTATTCGTATTTTTTTATGACAAGGGAAACCTGCATCCGCTACCCTTTGGATGCACACAGGAAAAGTAACCTACGCTAGGCAAGCATGGTGCGACGAGCTCAACCCAGAAGACAAACCCTTTACTTTTGCTGCCAAGGGGTTTCGAACTTGAGACCTCCAATATGGAAGTCCCAAGCCCAAACCACTGGGCATGATATTTAACTTGACTTGAGATACCGTGGCATACATATAAGTTTAAGTAAGTGGTGTCAATACTTAAAGAAGTGAACAAGTGAAACAAAATTATTTTAACACATCATACAAGAAAACACAATTCAAATCCTAGTAAAGAAACCATCAAGGATCAATATGACGTAATTGACCATAAATATTAGATGAACCCCAAATTGTTTTATGAAATAGATTGTTTACATCATACCCATTAGGGTACAACCCTTCCCCGGACCTTGCATTTTGTATATTGAGTTTCCCTTTGTTTCATAGAACTTAAACCCACAAAGAAAAACATTGGATATTTTCAAGTAGTTCCTGTTTGCTTTTACTAAGATTATCAACGCATAAAATCTGCTCATTTTAAGTAACAAATTATACATAAAAAGCTGTTTTTGCTAAATTTAGAATGTCAAATTATTACCTTTACTAGTATTAAAATTTGCAAACCCTAACATTACAACTAATAAAGGATTTTGCGGGAATAATAAATATGAGTATTTATAGCAATGCTCAATATAAATGCCGCTAAAGGCTTTAGTGACTTTGGATGCAATGGCATTAACTTATTTTATACTGCTAAAGGAAAATCTACTGCTACTATGTCTCTTTTCTTGTAGCGTAAAGAGCATATATAAATGCAGTTTGCAGCATAACACTAAACCAAAAGGAAAAATAGTGATTTTTTTAAATGGTAGTAAATTTCAAATACCTTTTGTGAGTGCTAGCTTATGTTTTTGGGCGTGATTTGAACTCTTTAGAGGGAGAGAAATTGAGGAAGTTCAATATATATTTTTAGAGAAAAAATGATTTTGTACTTGGCCAAATACATAAAAACATGGAATGTCAAATAGGAACATGTCTTAGTTGAGGTGTCAAAATGAAAACTAGAGTTAAGTTTGAAGGGTGCTTATGTATTTGGTTAAGTATAAAACCATTTTCTTTACAAATATATAATGCACTTCCCCAATTCATCTCTTCCTATCTAAAGAGTTGAAAAACAAATTGCTTACCCTAGATTGAGACTTGAAGAGTCCAAATAGTATCCTATAACTGAAGCACTCATAAAAGGTATTTGAAATATACTACTTTCTCTTAGGGTTAGTGTTATGCTACAATTATATAGATTCTTTAGAGTTTGCAAATCTTATACTAATTAAGCTATTTATTTGTTGTTCTAAATCTAGCAAAAAAACAGCTTCTAATTGCTCAA